GTTGTTGTTAATATAAGACATATACTACAGGAGAATGAGATGTCATATTTACATGCTGCAACCCCTTTCTCCCTTATCTTAAGCTTGTCCACTCGTCAGCTTTAATTTGAATTTTTTTTATAAAGATACAACTAATAATTCAGTTTGGCAGAACCTTATGAAAATCATAATACTCAGTTAGAATGGATGCAAATGCAACAGAATAGCATAGGATGCCTAATGTGGTAAAGTACTAAGTGAACCATGCATACATGAGACGTAAAGGTAAGACAAATGCTATCACATAACCCACTAACTAAACATGTAATCTATAAAATACAAGGGAAAATAAAAAACAAAATCTTTTAACATAGTAAATACAATGTAAAGCCAAATTTTTGCATATAAAAAGCATTGTAAAATAAAACCCATTTTTAAGACACTTTAAAATACAAATATAGTTAAGCAGAATAATAAAATTAATAACAGTGATCTTGTACATTCAAGAAAACATGAAACCAAGAGGGCTGAAATGGAAGGAAACATTTGAGGAATGAAAATGCATAAAAGGTGTGGAACACACACCTGCTGATTATGCAGTGTAGAAAGTAATACAACAAAATAACTAAATACAATCAAAAGTGTCATATGAAAATTTGAAATACGAGCATTAATTAGAATCAATATAACTGAACAAAATAAAAATTTTCCAAGCCCGTTCACTTGGCTGTGGTTTCGCTAGATAGTAGATAGGGACAGTGGGAATCTCGTTAATCCTACGGGTAAAAAGAGAATAAAAGAATTAACTTCAATAAAAGAAAAGTGTTATATGAACATTTGAAACCAAACTTTAAACTAATTAAAATCAATATATCTGAACAAGATAAAAATTAAACAAAAAATAATGGAAACCCCTCTACAGTAGTTATGGATAAAAATTAAAAGTGAATGAAAAATATTTACTATAATAATGCTAAAAATAAAAGTCATACTCACCTCCACAAAAAAAAAAATCCATAGGTATTCAAAGAACCAGGGTTTACATAAAAAGGAAATGAAATTGCTATCCACATGCTGACCCCCTCATGTTGAGACTGGCTGCCTTGCAGGAGGTAGAAAAGGGCTCCTTTAATGATGTTACCATGGTCATCTAGCTGCTGTATACTGTCCTATTGATTCCCATCTAACCACATCACACAGTACTTTCATTTACAGCATTCTTTTTCACTCTGAGTGTCAATGAAGACTTTTCATGGTTGCCACTTTTGCCTGGCTAGTAATGAGGAAGTTGATATCCTTCCAGGATAGTTGTGCTGGATTTGATAAAGGCGCATGGCCTTTTATCCAAGTAATGGTTTTACCATGCAGTTGGTTGGTTCAGATGTCATCCATCTGGGGACCAATCACTCAGAATATTATGCAGTACTTCCAATGAGTCAGTTGTAAATATTTTATGTTAGAGGCTATTTGTGGCTCATTGTTTCAGCAGTCTAGAGGAGAGCTTGTTTTATGGCTCTCAGCTCATCTTTGTGCTTCTTGTGGATAATTTGAATTTTCCACTATCCTTATGCAGAATTTTGTTGCTCCATGAGACAATGAATGACCAACTAGCCTTCTTGTTGTCCTTGGTGTAAGGACTGTCTGTGGCTATGATGACAAAGGTTCAAGGGTCAAAGGGAATGTCATCACGTTTGTAGACTTACATTCAAAATTTTATTGATCTATTATTTTATGAATACATGCCAATAAGTTTGGTATCATGTTGTGGATTATTATTCAAATTTCAGTATTATGCATTAGATGATTTCTTAATTTAAAACTAAATATTAAAACAAAATTCCTAAATATCAATTTTTGTGTGTCACTTGGTATGTTGAATACAGCTTTGGTTCAAGTATATGTTTGTGATGTCAAAGTACAAAGTCTATAGTTTCTTATGAATAAAAACTCAAATTACCAATAATGACAAGCTAGAATATAAAATAAGAACCTCCTGTCTTTTCTATTTGTTGAGATATTGCTACATTTAGTGACCCGAACACAGTAGCCCTGTCCATCTCTTTCCATTTTTGGAAATGTTTGCTTACATATATCTACTTCTGTCTATGACATGTGAATAACCAATCAAAAGCTCAGAATGTCCCCCTGGTGGTGTTCTCAGTCTCTAGAAGGTGGGAAGCTCCCAAGATTATTTCTTTGTCTTGAATCACAGAAGGAAGTGGTAAGTAAAAATGTTGTCGGAAAAACAATATTTTTTTTTACTCTAATACAGAATAGTTAGTAAGCCTGATAAATTACAGTAGAATTCTGCAATATTGATAGAGTAATTTATAATATTTGATTATTTAAAATGCATATATAAAACTTAAAAAAATTATTTTGTTTGATATCCTCTACATGCAAAATCATTTACTGTTCTATTCTTCAAGAAAAATAACTGAAATTTAAGAACTTGTTTGTAAATAGTAATAATATATATGCATATGTAATATATTATAACCGAAATGTGACTGTATTTTATGAAATACTGGTTCACTAGAACAAACTGAAGACATGTCACTTTGTAAAGGCCAGTTTTATACTATCGGATACGGTAACATGACTGCAGGTGCACCGCGTCATTGCAACTTCTGTAATGTTAGTCAGACACGGCAGAAATGTCAGTGTAATATAAAAAATAAATATCTATAGATGTATAATGAACAAACAAAAGTGATACTAA